TTTTTTTTTTTTTTTGTATAATTTTCCTTAATAGAATGTTGGAGCGGGTCATATACGTCAGTACCAATCCAATCCATCCATGGTGATGAAGTCAATCATTAACATGAACAGTTCCAATGGTATGATGGCACGAAACCAGCTGACCACCATCAACCAGTCCCAGCTCAACGCACAGCTGAGTTTAAACATGGCGGGACCCAACATCACCCATACAGCTCCTTCACCACCAGCTAGCAAGTCTGCCACACCCTCTCCCTCCAGTTCCATCAATGAAGATGACCAGGACGACAGCAACAGGGTGAGCAAAAAAATCTGGAACATTTGGGCAATTGTTTTAAATGACTGAAGGAAACTAGTATAAAGTTTAAGTTTTTATCCAAGTATTTTGTGATTGCAGGTAATTGGAGAGAAGCGACCAGCCCCAGTAGATCCTACAAAGAAACCCAAGACTCCTAAGAAAAAGAAGAAGAAGGATCCTAATGAGCCCCAAAAGCCAGTGTCAGCTTACGCCTTGTTCTTTAGGGACACCCAGGCTGCTATCAAGGGTCAGAATCCCAACGCTACGTTTGGAGAAGTGTCCAAGATTGTAGCATCCATGTGGGATGGCCTGGGAGAGGAACAGAAACAGGTACTCCAAATTTTGATTTACAGACATGTCAAAGTACCATCTGGAATGTTTACTTAAAAACTGCATGCAGTGTCTATAAAAGATTACAGCAATAAATAATTAATAAACTATGTATTGAACATACTAGATGGAATCTTAAGATATAGTAACCTCACTAGAAGTGGGACCTGTATATTCAAACCATTTTTATATCCTTACAGGTTTATAAAAGCAAAACAGAAGCTGCCAAGAAAGAGTATCTGAAAGCTCTTGCTGCATATCGTGCTAGTCTGGTTTCTAAGGTGAGACTTGTTATTTATTCTAAAAATAATTTATTTTAAATAAGTAATGTACTAAGAATTTTTTTTCATTAGGATTATACATTTAAAAAACTTGTATATTAAAAGCAGGTGTATAATGTGTAAAGTATTAAAACAAATACAGTAGTCCCTCATTTATCGCGGGGGATCTGTACGGTGAATCCCCGCGGAAAGTAAAAAACCGCAAAGTAAAAATAGTAGTACAAGTAGTAAGTAGTAGTTTATATATATATTTATATACATATCTACAGACCCTTTCCAAAAAATTAGAATATCATGGAAAAGTTCTTTAACCTCCATAATTCTATTAAAAAAGTTAATCTTTAATAGATGATAGATTCAGGGCCCACAATTTAAACTATTTAAAGTATTTATTTGTTTATTTTTACATAATTTGGGCTTCCAGCTCATGAAACCCACG